CTTTTCAGTGGATGCATTACTCAATGCACATTAGCCAACCTTCTGTAGACCTCACTGAACGACAGAAATGATTATTTGATGAATATATTCAACAACAATAGCATTATTCAAACACTTTACTCAATAAATTACCTTCAGCACACTCAGAAGTTAATGATGCATTCAGGTCGCTCTGTTTGCTCAGTAGAGCTTGTGTGCAGCCTTAAGGGGGGATCCAAGCCACTGGTACGGCTGAGGGAAGCAGGGGGTGTGGAGGGTCTTCTGGTCATTTGTGCCTCTAGTGAACAGGACAAGGAGGGTGTGTGGTGGTGGTGGGAGGTGTTTACGTCACATCTAGGGAATAAATGATGTATGTGAGGAGGAAGGGAGATCACCTGCTCCATTTCCTGGCTGGTAGTAGAAGCCCAGGCACTTGTTTTCAAGCTCATCCCTGGTACTTCAGCTAGAAATCAGTACAACAAATCAATGTATCTCTAATCTTCAGCTTTTGTCCAAGCTGGTGTGTGTGTGTGTGTATGTGTATGGAGCAGGGGGTTAAAGTAAATCTAACCTCAAATTCCTGCTCTTCACTTCTTGCTCCATTCAACCTTTTCTTGAGCACTTGGAGCAAATAATCTTTCTTTTGCTGTTTAAGACTCTCTAGTGCCTCCTTTGTAATTTCCAATAGAGGCTAAGTCTTTTTGTGGTCTTTATTTCCACAGTGCCAAATAGGTGCCCCTTTGACCCTTTTGTTGTTTTTTTAAACCTTTGAGTCATTTCATTGTTAGCCTCAACGCTGGACATTACCTTGATGCAAACTGATGTCATCCACATTTTCCACAATCTACTCAATTTCTTTAGCCAGTTCCCTTCTTGACTCCCTTTGATTCATTCTGCACAAAATGAACCTCCTCTGAATGCTAAGGTTGAAATCTCTCTTTGGCTACAAGGATTTGGATCACATTTTTGTCTCTCTTGTCCTTATGTTAGTCAGAATATAATTTTGCTAAAGCATCATGCCCTGACACTACTCTTGTCATCTGCTTCCACAGGTGCTGCCACTTCTAGAAGTGTTACAAAACCTCAAACCACTGTCATCTTTTTCTTACTGCTCACTTGTGTGCTTACTTGAAGATTTATCTCTTTTTTTTTCTGTCTGAATCCTCACGTTTCTCTGAATTTCATACAGCCCATATAACGTCTTTGTCTTCTCTAGCCTCAGCTAACTTAACCTATCACTGTCTGCCTGTGCTGTTCCATGAAGTCAATTATCTCCTGTTCACCTGTTGAGTAATGCCTTATCTTTGAAGTCCATTTTAATTTTTCCGTTCCATGTGTTCTTTGCAATGACTTAGTGAATTAATTGTGTTTTCGAATTATACAAAAGCATCAGTTAATATCCACTATCTTCTATAGCAACAGTGGTGCAAAAAGCAAACATAACCTTTTAAAGGCACGTTTGCAGCTCCTTTGAACAGAGGAGCTGTGCTGGTTACAACCCAAACAATATGTATTGGGTTTGCGTGGCAAGGTTTTGGTAGCGGGGGGCTACAGGGGTGGCTTCTGTGAGAAGCTGCTAGAAGCTTCCCCTGTGTCTGATAGACCCAATGCCAGCCGGCTCCAAGAGGGACCTGCCCCTGGCCAAGGCCGAGCCCATCAGCGATAGTGGTAGCGTCTCTGCGATAACATATTTAAGAAGGGGAAAAACTGCTGCGCAACAGCAGCCAGGGGAGAGGAGAGTATGTGAGAAGAACAGCCCTGCAGACCCCAAGGTCAGTGAAGAAGGAGCAGGAGGTGCTCCAGGCACCAAAGCAGAGATTCCCCTGCAGCCCCTGGTGAAGACCATGGTGAGGCAGGCGGTCCCCCTGCAGCCCATGGAGGTCCACGGTGGAGCAGATATCCACCTGCAGCCTGTGGGGGACCCCACGCCAGAGCAGGTGGGTGCCTAAAGGAGGCTGTGACCCCGTGGGAAGCCCATGCTGGAGCAGGCTCCTGGCAGGACCTGCAGACCCGTGGAGAGAGGAGCCCACACTGGAGCAGGTTCCCCATCCCCCTGCATCACTCAGGGGAGGAGGCAGAGAAAATTGGGAGTAAAGTTAAACTCGAGAAGAAGGAAGGGGTGGGGGGGAAAGTGTTTTAAGATTTAGTTTTTATTTCTCATTACCCTTCTCTGATTTCATTGGTAATAAAATTATTTTTCCCCAAGTCAAGTCTGTTTTGCCTGTGGGGGTAACTGGTGAGTGATCTCTCCCTGTCCTTATCTCGACCCATGAGCCTTTCGTTATATTTTCTCTCCCCTGTCCTGCTGAGGAGGTGGAGTGACAGAGCGGCTTTGGTGGGCACCTGGCGTCCAGCCAGGGTCAACCCATCACAGAATTCCACAAAACAGGCTCTGTGGCCCTTTAGGCTTTTGGTCAAAGGTTGTCCTATACAACCATTTCTCACCATCAAGTGGAGGCTGCAAGTGGAAAACTATAACCAAAGCTCTGCAGGCTTCTGGCTGCCACAGCACCGCTGGCCACAAGAGCTGCCCTGCAGTCCTTGAACAGATCTCAGTTTCTCACCACCAGAGCACATAGGCCAGGAGCCACCTTTAGTCCTGTGAAATCCCTGCTGCCTCACTGCCAGACTTCTAGGTACCAGAATGTGTTCCTGTCTTTCAAAATAGCTTTGCAGGAATTTCATCCATCCAGTCTTCTGGCTGGCTAGAATTTGCCCATTGCTCAGGATCCGCTGGAGATTTTAGTCGAATCCTTGATTCCCATTTTCTTTGGGCAGGATTTTCTTTTCTCCTTCACATCCTTCTCCTCAATGTGAGATCAGCGAAAGCGGGTCTAAAGTTGTTCTTTACTAATCCCTCTTGCTGCTCAGGTAAGGAAGTAGCAGCTTAGCTTTGGGAAAAGAGACCTCAAGGTAAATTTCTCAATCTGTATTTAGGTATCTCCATGGCCTGATTTCCACCGGTGTTGGTTCCCACTAATTTTTGTGCCTTGCTGGTGAACCCAGCATATCTTTCATTTCCGTCCTGACTTGTTCAGCTGGAGACTCAGAACTGGTGTAACTTCAGTCATGGACTGATAGGTGATATTAGGCTTTTTACATTAGAAAGGGATGGTGCAGTTCTTAGGGCCATTAGCAAAAGCCCACTCACAGCCATACTCACTTTCCATGGAATTCAGTCTGCCCTTCTGTAGTGCTTGTGCACATCTTAAAATCCTAGGAAAGGCCTTTTGAGCTTTTCCTTCAAATCTACTCCAGAGGACACCTCATCCACAAGATGTGTTCGTACATGTTAGTATTCATGCTCGCTCACGTGACAGTTTTGTTTCCTTGCCTGTGCTTTATTACGTAGTAGTATCTTCATGCTTTGCTATTCAGCTCCTTTGAGACCGATGCATTGACTGTGTATTACTTATCTAGAAAGCATTTAAGCCCTGGTGCTGATGTCTTGAAGAGCCTGATTTAAACTTCTGCTGGAGCTCTAATTGCAGACATGGAGGACAGAAATAGCTCTTTAATGACAAAGTCACCACCCTGCCAAACATATTTAAAAGCATTTAAGCATATGCCCGATAGGATATAAGCCAACCGATATTCTCCTGTTATTCTTTTTTACCTGCAGCATCAAGGAGCAGCTTGGTAATCATTCTTCATGAGAACACCTTTTTTCAACATCCTTCCCAGTATAAATCAGCAATATATTCATTTCTGCAGCTGTCCCTCAGCTCCTCAAGCAAGTCACCAGCTCACCAGCTCTAACGGTAGCAATGTAGGAATACCCAAATAGGAAAATATCCTTGTTTTCCAGCAGAAGTCTGGCCATAGGCAGAGCTCATGGTGGGCCGCAGAATCAAGGGACAGCAGCAGAAGTACTGAGCTTTCTGTCTGCATTGAGCTTTGTGACGCTGTGGCCTTATTACCGCTCGTACTCAAACTCGCCAGTTGGTAAACTTGCTCACACACCAGTACTCACTGCAGCTATGGCAGCGGCAGTGGGATATGCATGTGCCACTGCAGCCACAGAGGGGTACATTTTCTCTCCTGCTAGGCAGAGCTTGCAGGAGCAGTAGATGGGATGAGGACATTAAAAGATAGAATACACAGTTCTGGAAACTTCCTAGCTTTCCCTCCTCATGTCTCCCAGCCATTCAGTGTCCTGGGAATACATCTACTTTTTGCTCTTACAAAACAAAGGAGCTTGGTATCCTCGAAGATCCACGCAGACCTCGGAGGTGGGGCTGGGTGGGAAGATGACTGTGTGCTCTTGGTGGTTATCTCAGGTCTTCTTTTGACTTTGAGGAGAGTCTGGCTGCCAACAGCTCCTTAGGCAGCTCTTCCAAAAGAAGTATTCCGGAGTTAGGACAGGGGAAGACTTGTGCAGAAAAGAAACTATAAAATAGAAACATGTTTGCAGTTAAGTTAAGTGCATTTCTTAAACGATAAGAAATACAACAAAGAAAATCCAATGAGGCAGGACAGGATTCAAAATAATGCATAAGTTTACTGAGAAGTTGGTCCACAAAGAAAAAAGTTTGCATTTTGGCCATCAGCTAATTATGGGACACATGGCTGCTATACATAAATTTGAAAGTGAAATCTGATTTGACTGTGCTCAGTATTTGCCTAACTGACAGGGCTAAGTTGAGCGTACCTCAGTGGTAGGGTGCGAGCCTGAACTTGCCAGAGAAAGCTCTGCCTGACGCTCAGGACACCCTTGGGAAGAACAGGCACATTTACTTGCAGAGGACAGTTTAACAGAACAATTAGGCTTCAGCCTAATTGACAAAATCTATTTTAACAGCAAATAAATTTTGTGTAATAGCCTCAGAAGGTACAAATTATCAGAACTAAGAGCAGTTTGTTGTTGTTTTCCTTTTTAAATGCTTAATAATTTTAAATTGCTTCAGCTACTTGTTATATTTCACCTTGAATGAACGTTTCATTTTTCTTCACCCAAGAGGAAGCATCTCTCTGATCTTGTTTCTTTGATACAGCATTTCCTTCTTTCCTTGAGGAGAAAAATGAGCTGGGGATTCCTACGTGATCTGCTGAGTGGAGTGAATAAGTATTCAACAGGAATTGGAAGAATTTGGGTAGCAGTTGTGTTCATATTCCGATTACTGATTTACATTGTGGCCGCAGAAAACATCTGGAAATACGAACACGATGAATTTGAATGCAATATCAAGCAGCCTGGTTGTGAAAATGTCTGCTTTGACCATTTTTTCCCTGTCTCCCACATCAGTCTTTGGGCTTTGCAGTTAATCATGGTCTCTACCCCTTCACTCTTGGTTGTTTTTCATGTTGCTTACCGAGAGAACAGAGAGAAACACCACAACCAGAAACTTTATAGAAGTGTGGGAGAGATAGATGGTGGATTGCTGTGCACTTACCTTACCAGCCTTATTTTAAAAACAGGATTTGAAATAGTTTTTCTTTTTCTGTTTTATAAATTGTACAACGGGTTCAAAGTACCACGCCTTGTGAAATGTGACATAAGACCATGTCCCAATACCGTAGAGTGCTATATTTCCAAACCCACAGAGAAGATGATTTTCCTCTATTTTCTGGTGGCAACTTCATGCCTGTGCATTGTATTAAATCTAAGTGAATTGAGTTATCTCATTTTCAAATACTCCATAAAATGTTATCTGAAGAGGTACGTCAAGAAACATCAAGGCTCAGAAAGTGATTGCCACAAATCAGAAATCAGTGGTCACAACAGACCAGCAGCTGCAGGACGGTTCCACATCAGCTCCTCGTCCTTGCCTCTGAATATACAAGACAAATGTGGAAAAAAAGCTCCCCGTTGACTTGAAAGAAGAAGGTCAGAGGCCACCTTCCCGTTACACAAGCTGTATTTGACAGATTGCTTTTCCAATCAGTGCCTTACAGAACTGAAAGGATAGTTATGTAGGAAATATTTTTTCTCTGTTAGTTCCCCCTTTCTTGAGTGGATAAATCCAGTTGCATTATGTATGTTATACCTCGAATCATCTAGATCTGTTCGTGTTGAAACAAGAAGTGTAGAAGTCTGAAAATTCCATGCAGTTTTAATATAAACACAGATGCTTATGATAAATCATGCTGAAACAATTGCTCAAAGAGTTGAGTTTTGAATATTACACAGAACTGCTTTGGTACAAGCCAAAAGAGGCTTTTTATAGGCAGAGTTGGAAAAACCTGGGATTAAGACACTGAACAGGAAGGGGACGCGCAGCATTTGTCAGCTGAGTGGATCCGATAGCTGTTGAAATCGCCATCGGCAAGTGCTGGCATACAGTGGCTGCTGCTGTCTTGAAGGGAGCTGGATGGTCACAAGCCCCTTCCACTGGACTACTGTAAAACTTCTCCAAAAAAGAACAAAAAAATAAAAAGAGGTAGACACATCTAGTTTAGCCCATGGTGATAAAGACAGACCTGGTTATTTAGCTATTTGTGGAGCACCTCCTTCTGGAGGTATTTGAGCCCTTTACATTTTTTAGGGTATTTATCATGAGAATGCATCCCGTAAGAAAAGGTACTTGCTCAAACTGGCGCAGGCAGCCCGTACCAGAGTACAGAGTTAACTCTGGCTCACCCGCACTGAGCAGCTCCCAAGTCATTAGACTTTTTTTTCTGCTCTGTGGCTGTGGCATTTAAGGGAAAAGATCATTCCTAATTCCTTAGGATCTGAGTAGAGAAATGTAGACCGCACAACACGGCAAAACAGTAGCCAGCAGCCCTGGCATTCAGTAGCCTGGAATCTGGTCCCTTTAGCAAGGTTGAAAATACTGCTACTCCTTCAGTATATTTCCCTGCCATAGAACAACACGTGGAATCTAAAAATATGAAAAGCCTCCAGTAGAAACAAAGTAAAAAAGAACCACCCATCCCCTCCCCCCAGATTTCAGAATCTCTCTTAAATACCACGCATCTCCGAGGCTAACAGGAAAGGGACACAGATTAGCCAAGACGTGTCTTCTGTTGAACCTAGACTTCTGAGCCGACAGAAATTAAGTACCTAAAAAGACTTATTTCAGGGTAGCAGTGTTCTCTTTCCATTGCTGGGATGAAAGACCTTTGGACATCCATCAGTACTGAGCCTGATCAAAACACACCCTTGAGAGAAAAACACCACTGCAATCGGTGGAGCTGCCTGAATGTTGAACTGGTTTCATTGTTTGTGCCAGGATAAAGAGGAGGAAACGGTAGCAAAAGCACGTTAACTACTTTCTCACTCCAAAAATCCCCAGCTTTGCTTACAAACTATTACTTTTATGAGTACTGGGGTAGCAGTTACAGAATTAAGAAATAATCAATAAACTATGTGCTGTGATTTTTCAAGCTTTTTTGCTAAAATAAACCTGCTTTTATCAAAGGTGAAAATACATTTGCTGCCATTGAACTTAACAGCGAGAGCAGTCTCTCAGACGCTAGCTTGCCAGCTTGTGGCCAGTTAAAGTTTTACATCTCGAGTGACGCTGAATCGGTGTGTATATCGAGACAACGCGCTTTACGCAATTCAGAACCTTTTCTGTTAAATCTCGACATACGCAGACTGCGGCTCATGACAGAAATGCCGTTAGAAACTCTTTTGCAGCTACTGGACAACACCCACCAACCAAGCAGCGCGTGAAGCAAAACCACTGCCCACCAGCCCTCTGTAACTGTGGCCGCCACAGTTTCGCTGAGAACAAAACCCAAAATTATCTTCGCCCTTTCGTACCTTAATGCATCATTTTTTAAGACAATGGCAACACGACCAAAATGAAAAATGCTTCCAAAATGACTGTTTTTTAATTATGGAGGACAGATTTGAAGACAGCACATTAATGAAAAAGTATTTATTTATTTTTTTTTTTTTTTTAAAGCAAGGTTTATTTGAGAGAAAACGAAGAGAAGCAAACACAGTTTAGCCAACACAGGTTTCTGATTAAATTGGTGCATTCACTGCTCTCTAATAGAAAAATTGTGTTAAGTCAGGGCTTGAAGAGTTCCCCTAAAGCTCTGTGGCTGGTCCGGGCTTCCCACTTAGACCAAAAATTTTCCCGTGAAACAAGAACTTTAATTCTTTGGAATGTATATTCAAGGTTTTATTTCTAATTCCTATCTTCAACAGCCATGAAATGATAAATAAATTCCAAAATCAACAGGTTTCAAGTCTCGGAGGATACTTCAGTTTGGACAAAGCCAGTACCTTACATGAGAAATATTCTGAAAAACTATTATGACCCAACTCTGTGTAACCCCCGACTCACTCGTAGCAAACAGCCAGGGGGGCTTTTACACCACGTGCTGCAAAATTAGAGGGGTGTTTGACAAAGCCCCTGATGAAAAGGAAACGAGCATCACGCAAGGCAGCTCCGTCAGATTTTACTTAACCTAAGAGAACAGAAACAAACTCAGCTGCCTTCTGAACCCTGCTCTTGGCCAGCATTTGGTCTTTTCCTGGCTCCTTTCCTTCCACAGCCCCTTCCCCGCCTTTACACTCATTTGTGCTTCAGCTTAAGTTTCACTCATCCATCCATCCCTGAAGTCATTTGCTCTTACATTTTTGGTTCAAATGAGTTTGTAGACTCGGTCCCTAAAACTAAAGGTTTAAGGGCTTTTTTGTGTATTCAACTTCCAATTCACACAAACAGACAAAATTTAAAACCATTCAAGTGCTATGTTTTTTTTCTTTTTGAAGTGTAGAAGCACAGTCTCCTCAATCGCATAGCAATTTGCAGGAAGCTGACCTGAGCCCATACCGTAATGGAAAAATAACACGATCGCTCCATGCGTGTTCATACAAAAACATTTACCTCATTCATATTTCAAAACATCTCTGCAAACATTAAAAGACCCAGGTCTTACCTAGATCCTAGTTTTCTTTAAAACCCAAGCAATGTTCTTGCCTTTTGACAGATGACGTTTAAAAGAAAAAGTGACAGAAAGAAGCAGGGCAGGAGCAGGAGCTGCTGCCCCAACTCCTGCTTCAGCGAGATCCGCTAGCCCTGGTGGCCTAAACCTCAAGGCAGCGTGCCCGTGCGGGTGGGAGACCCAACCATACTAATTCTTTAGCACAGAAACTAATTGCAAGAATATAGCCAACTACTTTTCCTCACCTGAGCCAGTGACTGTTTTCAGTGTTGATTTTAAAGGCGTCCCTCCGTCGCTATCCAACAGCCATAGACAGGACATGCCAGAACGCTCCAGGACCAACAGTCCCCCCCATCCCCCTGAGAACGACCGCCCCAAAACACGTGAGGACAAACCCACTACTCTTATTTACACTGAATTAGGGCTCAGACAATATTAAGATTTCTTTATAAACATAGTTAACCACAAGAGAGGCAGGCTGACTGCTGGTTTAAAGATGTCTTTCAATCACAAAACAGTCTGCACTCTACATCCAGGCTCCTTGATTTGGTTGCTTCCCCATCAGCAACAACTGCTGCTTCAGTCAGCACACTCCTCACGATGACAAGGGGTTTAAAAGAAAGCGTCTTAGCTCAAATGCGCCACAGTTCATGGGTGACATGTCTGGAAGACAGAGACACGAAGGAGGAAGGAGAAAGAGAGAGGGGAGAAGACAGAGAGGGCCGGGGCAGCGGGGCCGGCCGCAGCCACAGGTGCCGGGGCACCCCGCGGGCTGGGGTGGTGCTGGCAGCCCCATCCCGCCCGGCAGCCCCAAGGGCAGGGGGACGGCTCCAGGCTCTGGAGGAGCAGTCGGTTCGGACATGCTGCCACAGCTGTAGCAGAAGGTATTACACATCACTCAAGATAAAATATCTAAATGCAAATACCAAATTTACTTCCTCAGGAACTTTTGTAGTGCCCTCTGCAGTCCATGACATCTTAAATCAGACCCTGCCTTCAGTCCCCACTTTAAGTTTAAAATACTTTTTTTAAAAAATGAAAATAAATACCATACTAGCTTACCTGTTGGACAGGCTGTCAGTACCCACCTAAAAGGGAGCGTGCCATGAAGGGCACTGACTATATTGGTACAGTGCCCACTTTAACTGGATTAATTGGGATAAGAATGAGACAATATTAAAAAATTTCATTCCCTGAAATTCAGACCCTCCATTCAGATCCAAACCAGAAATTATTTCCTGGATATTTATGACATTGGAATTATTTTTCCTTTTTTTTTTTAAAAATAGCATTCTAGTATAGCACTGTGTAGCTCAATAGTTGTAGCTATTCTAAGCCTAAAAAACCTGCAAACGATGCACTATCTATCATTGACAGGGAATGTCAATGCTGAAACTATTTAATTTACACAAAACAAAAAGATATCTTCTAAAAATTAACAGTTGTGAGGTCTGTTGACAGCGACTGCAGTGGTTAGGTACATCTGAAACCAAAAGATTTCAGGTGAGCTTTGCGGATCCTCTCCAGAGGACGTCCTCTGCCCTCTTCTCCCCTGCAGAAGATTCCCCTCTACAATCACCATGGATCGCATCCAACAGCAACTCCATCCAGGGAGACCGCGCAGCCTCTGGTAGGTAGAACGCGGCACCACGCGCTTGTAACGATTATAAAGATCTCTCCTAGAGTTAAAATGCAAGGATTTGTTTCAGTTTTATCATTCTCGGACCGCACCTTTGATTTACTAACTAGGCAGAATTACCAGTTTAGTCACTCGGGAGGGATCAAAAGCAAGAGGAGCAAACAGGCTCTTTCAAATGGAAGCACGGGCTTTCTGAGAAGGTACGCAATTTAGCACCAGATATCAAACCACGGGCTATGCCCAAGCTGAAATGCAGTTGCCTTTCCGCTTTTTCATACATAATCTTCACTCTCATGACAAGTCAATTCATGTGGTTGTAGGAATCTGCCCTCTGCATTGACATTCAAGTAAACTGTCAAGGATTCCAGGTGAATAGCTTAAGAGCAATCAAGTGTAGCATTTAATGCAAAGCTTTACATGGCAAGACAAGTTTATAGAAAAAAAAAATCCAGCCAATCTCTCCCAAGATAAAGACTATTTTATATTACTGAAGGTAAGTCACATCCAGTAATGAGAATAATCCAAGAAAAATTTTTGGTACCACACAATCCAGCTGGCTTGTCCCATCCGAGTGAAGCATCATCACGCACGAAAACCAACATTGTAGATTCCTGGGTACTGACAGCTCCCGCCAACACATTCACGCTTTTGGTTACTGAACAAACTGGATACCTGTCGTTTCGGTTAGCAGCATAGAGAGAAATCGCTCCAATCCTGGGCACTACCAGCGGCACCGCTTCTGAGGCTCGTTCCAGTGTGGAAAAGAGAGAGGTGGCGAGAGTGCGGCCAGGTACAGTCAGCAAGAGGCAGAAGAGCACGGAGGGAGCCTATGCCATCAATAGAGCACGACCACTGAGTTTATCTGTAAGATCACAATCTCACTTCCCTTTCAGAAAGTGCCTTGTTTATTCAGTTTTTAACGGTATGGCATAAGGACTCACGTATTTTATAGATAGATACCAAATTGGTATTATCAAAATAAACCATCTGTTTTATAAACCCACTATTTACAAAAACGGTTTCTGAAGATTTTTTTGTTTTGTTTTGTTTTTTTTAACAAAAATTAAACTATACACCAATCTAAGTTACAGAAACAAAAATAACCTTTATAAGATCACATGTATAAAACAAGAAATGAAATGTGATTTTATTTAAGGCAATACTGGGCTACTTCACAAATCACCACCTCAAATATATACACTGCTCCACACTACTAATTTTCTATCACATTCACAACGGATTCTTTAATACCAAATATTGTTTTAAATCTCCAATGTAGCAAACTATTTTTATTCACATTTCCATTTTTATTATGGAATCATAAATGCTTTGTATCCAATTAAAAGCAATGAAAAATGTAGCTATAAGAAAACTATTATATTTATGAGTTAACTACATATGAATATCATCCATAGATACTGGATGTTAAAATTTACAAAAATGAGAGTGTGTCAGTACGTTTAACCTATGAAATGTGATCTTATCCAGCTCCTCTCCTGTAAATAAATGCTTTATGCAAAATAAACTGGATATGGCAGACTTAGCTAGTTTTAGTTCAAAAGTTCTTAATTTAAAATGATTAAAGGACAGTTTTAAAAACTTGCTCACTTAGTTACAAATTAAAATTCCGAATATAAATGTGTCATTTAATAGTTTAGACTTACAGACTGCTGGTGGCAGCAAATGATTTACAATAATAAATATATACAAAAAAAAATGTATCTACAAATAAAGAGTACTGTTATACATGAGCAGTGACCTGGTGAAAGATACCAATCACAGACAACTCACAAAGATTTAGTTCATGGAAAGGACAATCTGATAGAAAGTTGAGGTTTTGGATCAAGTATTTACAAAACTGAAGCAATTACTCTGTTCTTCAAGTCCCATAGGGATAAAAACAAATAAGAAGTTTACATGACTCATGTCATGTTTTTTGCTAGATTAAATCACTTCAAAATAAAAGAGCTCCACAGTTACTAGCATGCTTGATGGCTTCCTATTCAAAATAAATTTTATTACAGCTCACGGTTAAACACATTAGGTTTTCAGTATATTGACTCCCCTTCCTCGGTACCCATAACGATTACTTTTGCAGCTGTAACCTCTGGATTATCCTCCCAGCGTCCTTCGAGCTTTCTCAAACTGACGATAGGTTTCATTTCCTGAAGTTGCTTCAACACACGCTCAGTGCAGTCTTTAAAAGTCTTGTCTAAAACTATCTTTACGTTATCACCACATGGAAGCTGTGATGGGTTGGCAAACGGTACAAGGGTTTCAGTTTCAGAACATGACCAAGTGACATTATTACTTGCTACGGAGGTCTTCTCATTGGATTTTCGCGAGTTCGAATGGGATCCTTTTTTGGTTCCACTGCTATGGTAGTCTCTTTCGGTGTTTTTCTTTTGCTTCACAGCAGACTCTTCAAGGAACTTGAGGAATGAGACTTCAAAACCCATCGGCTTAAACGAGCTCCAGTCGAAAGCTGCAGGTTGCTCTTCGGCCGTTTGAATGGCGACAGCAGTCTCTTCCTCCTTATGCATGCTACTCACGTCAACGGGCAGCACCTCCTCAGTTTTTTCGGCTCTCCTCCTCTTATTCTGAGATACATTTTTTTCTTTGCTTGCTCTTTTCAAGTTGTTTGATTTTTGCTTTTCTGAGGGGCAGGAGCTGGTCTCCTGCAAGTCACTATTTACACTGGGAGAGATTTTTGCTTGGTTTTCAGTACTTGAACAATCCTCATTAATCAGTTTAGTAATGAATAGTTCTGTCAGTTCATCCACTTCATCCTTCTCACCTTTTTCAGTTTCCTTTTGCGGTAATGTAGGTGTGCTTGAATCATTATTGCTCACTATCAAACTCGGTTCAGGCTCTTTCACATCACTTTTTTTATCAGTCTCCTCTTGGTCGCAAGAGGCTTCCTTTACTTCTGAGACAGAGTGCTTTTTAGATACAATAAGAAGATTTCTGTGTTGGGAAGTAAATGCTTTGGACAGCTTGTGACATTTATAATGCCTTATTATGTTACTTTCGCTTGTAACGACAGATGAACATCCCTTTATCATACACGGATACTGAGTTATGAACCTGCTCGTGCATTCCGATAAGGCATCGTTTCTAGCCTTTATTGAATACACGTGCTTGCCGCGTTTCAGTGAATAAGCCTTATTTTCTTGAACTTGCATTCCTTTTGAGTTTTTGTTTTCCAAGTTCACGTTTTTCTTTCGTTTTGTTTTCACTGACAGCCTGTTACCTTCTTTTCCCGATCTGTTTTTTAGTCCTCTCTGTTTGGACTTCAATGGTTTCTCCTGATTTGCTTTGCTTGAAATGTTTTCCTGACCTGGTGTCAGTCTCCTGGGTCTTATTAGATGATCTTTATGCTTGTCATTATGTTTGTTAAAAATATGCCTCAAGAGGTTAGACCTAGTAGCATAAATACGGTCACAGCCTTCACAGTCACACTTGAATACGCTGTCATCTTCTACTTTGTTTGGCCTTATCTTAATACCGTGATCTGCCTCAAGATGTACAATGTAGTTAAGATACGCTGTGAACGAAGACTTACACTGAGACTGATCACAAGAAAACCTTCCTGCCTCTGGAGCCAGTTTCATGTTTCCAATTTGCTCTGGGGTCATGTCATGAAGCTTCATATAATGTTGTATCAAGCTGGTAACTTCCTGGAAGATGCGAGAGCAGTCACTCACCTCACACCTGAACTCTCTGACAGAGGCCTTGGTTTCCACCTCATCGCGTTCCTCTTTACCTGGCTCATTCTCCTCCTCCACTTCGGCAGAGAAGGCAGGGAGGTCAGATTTGTGCACGGCTTGGTAATGAAGGATTAGGTTTTGTTGTATCGTAAAAGCTGCGAAGCAGCCCTGATGGACACATCGGTATGGTCTGTAAGGGCTGTATCTAGTGGGAAACTCCAGAGATTTTGTTACGGGCTTCCTACGTTTTCTCTCCTCTTTTTCCTTCCTGTACCTCCTAACCTTGCGTACTTTGGGTTGCGCCGGTGTACTACCAAAAGAGGCTGCATTATGCTGCTCCGGTGGAACAGAAACCACTTGGGGAGGTTTTTCCAGTCTTTCAGGAATATTATTTTCCGGTAGAAGTTTTTCCAAGACTTTAACAGGCTCTACAGCTTCCTTTATCTGAGCTTCTTTGACCAATGGAACTGCAGTTTTGTTTTCTATTATTAGTGTCTGTGAAGTCTTCATTTCAACAGGTCGCGGGGCTGTGCTTACAGTTTCATTTTGGGATCTTCTGCCATAAGGCCTTTTAATTTTTAATTTTACCATCTCCTCTGTCGTAAAATGATGCACAAGCTGACAGTGTGCTCGGAGATTAGAGTTTCTTGTGAATGTTTTTGGACAGGTAGCTACAACACATTTGAAGGGGGCATACTTCAATTGATGTTTCTTAATTTCTAGTATCATTTCTGCAGTGTACTGATGAACCTTGCCATAGTGTTTAAATAACGCGTCTTTTGTCATAGCACTATAATTGCAGCCTGGATCCTGACATACAAAAGGCTTATTAACTTTATCACTAAACTGAATGTTACTTGCCTCTGAAGATATCTGGACGAGGGGTTTGTTTTCAGTTGATACAACAGGAACTGCTGGTGCTAGCGTATCTGCTGGAGGGCA